TCCGAGGTGCCTACCCCTCCAGACATTCACTCAGGCAATCTGGATAGAAACTAACAACAAGAACGCCACTGACATCGGTTGGAGCCATATCTTGTAGTGTCTCCAACCAGGCACAGTGAGGATCACGCGGTCCCCATCCTGGAAGACGAGTAGCACCCAAGCGTTTCGTGATCTCCCTCTTACTCCTCTGCCATGTCAAGGGCTAGCCACCTCTCTGTTTACGCCACTCTGAATTGGGCACAGAAAACAGCACTCTCTTTGGTAAACGATGGTTCCGCATCGCAATACATGTCCCAACCAACGAAGCTCCTGGTGCTAGACACATTCTTCAATGGAAGTAGCCGTTGCGCAACCGAAAACGCGCTTTCTAACTTCCTCTTTACGGATTCGCCGACACCAACCCACACGAGCTCTGGCTCTGAGACAACGATTGTCGAACACCTGAAGACGCCTCAGTTCCACTGCTCGAATAGGCCAAGTCTCGCAGCCATACAACAAAAAAGCCTATACTGTAGGTTGATAGAGATAGATAGAAATTCAGGGAGAAACCATTCTGACACCTACGCGTACATGCATGCAGCGAACGCTGATGGTGATGCGCGTGACGCACAATAAAAAGTAAGCGTCATGGCAACCGTTTTAAAAAATCTGTGAAACAAAATCATCTGCGCAGCGACCTCATTAATGAATAAATAGTACCGTATACCGTTCTTTCTTATCACTCAGAGTGGGTCTTATATAAACGTAACGCTATATCTATTCGGCGCCGGAAAATTTGGTTCGAGATTAGTAGCTTCTGAGAGACCAACCCTCAAATCCCGATTTCGCGGAGGCGCGACATTCCCTCCGACAAAGACCAGAAAGTGAAGTTCGTTCACTGAGTTTCTGGGTATTCTGACAGCAATTAGGTATTTGAAGCGTAGCAAGGGAAAAACAGTGCTTCTCATACAACATAGTTCTGTCGAAACGATCCATCAAGTGAGATCACTTATGGTTGATCTCCGGTGAGTCTCAATGGTTAAAAACCTTTACCCCCTCTCCAGAGTTCAACTAAAAAGTGATCGGAATTGAGGCCTTTTGAGATTTTATCAATCTAAAGGGATCTGGTGCTCTGCATATCGCCACTTCACGGAACCGGCAGAGAGCGGTCCCCTCTGAGTATTAGTCTCTTCTGGGAGAGTTTATCAATGGAAAGAATGCTGGCGCACATAGCCACTGACTTCGGCATCCAACTACAATGTCATGCAAGTGTTATGATGAGAGAAATATGAAGAAACAGGAACGAAACACAAAACTCTAGGTTGATTAGGCATCGGATCGGAGCCCATTCAAAATGATGTCGGAAGAAGGATCAATTGTACCCAACGGTTGCTAGTTACTGGCGCTGAAAACCTTAGAAGTAGTACACCAGGGGCGAAAAGACAACCAGCCACTTGCAAAAACTTACATTGAATGGAATTCTTTCCCATCATTTCCGGAGTACCAATTTGTCGAAGCACTTTCAACCGATCAATCGGTGCGGTCATCGTCCTGGAAACGGCACCAGCAATACCGCCGCAAACAAAACGTGCCCATTCCGGTCGCATGACTGGCTCCGTTGACATTTGGAATAGTTGATATCGCCGTGGTTCACGTAATTTACTCATAATCCTTGGACTAAGTTAAAAATGGGTCCGGTGAGCAACAGGACCACAATCACCATGCAGCAGCATGACAAGGTTTACCTGAAAAATAGAACCCAAACAACGATGAGCATGACACGTTCATGGTGATACTGGCGGTAACCAACTACTTTCATTTACTTCAGATCGACTACAAATTAGGAAAAATAACTGTTCAGCTGTAACACCCTTTCGGTGTGCAGCTGCTATGCCACATGAAGGAAGTACGGGGGCTGGGATATTACCAGGCTGCCCAAGCCTAGACAGAAGAAGTCGAGAGGTCGAGTTCGAACCACGGACCTTTCGCGCTCTAAGCACTGATCAATCTCCCCACACACACCGACTAATCTCTACTTAAGAATGAGCCGGCTATTTGAGTATCTCGAATAGCGGCTGTCAATGCCGGTGAGAAGGCTTCTTCAGACGAAGACCGAATTTTGCTTCCAGTGGTGTAGGCCATAGACAGCTTGAATAACCACACATCAAATATAGGTCCACGCGGGTTTCTAGCTGACCTGCTTGGCGGAACTACTACTGGTGATACGGTTTTGAACCAACGGATAGCCCGATTGTGTCGTCGTACGACCGGCAGTCGGTTGTTGTCCTGCTTGTTTCAGTGTGTAAACATCAACGGAAGCTAAATAGACCGTTTTCAGAGTTCCAGAAATGACTTCGAGGTGCTTCGCGTTGTCGGTGGGCGAGATGGCCCAAGTGGTAAGACCGCGAATTTACTGACCGGAAGGTCCGTGGTTCGAATCCGACCTCCGCCTCTCGACTTCCTCTGTCTAGGCTTGGGCAGCCTGGCAGTATCCCAGCCCTCGTGCTTCCTTCGGGTGGCATGGCAGCTAGGCACCGAAAGGGTGCTACAGCTGAACGCCTTCTTTTTTCTTCTTTTCTTTCAGTGATTACGTCGGGATATTGAGGGCAAGAAATACGTCCAAAACACCAACGCCAAAGAAGTTGTCTGGACTGCTCAGGTCCACTGACACCGACAGACGGCTCACAGCGTCCGTAATCCGATTGCAAGGAAATATCATATGTTCCATAAGCAGTAATTGTCGAAAACCTTGTTACAGCTGCTCGATTGGTTGGGTTTTACCTATATAAATCGGGAGGTGGCATGGCAGATGGTAACTCGGTCTTTAGCTTGATTTTTGTTCTGTGCTGAAAGATGCGTCTTAGTGTGTGGAAATCTGTGGTTCCGTACTCGGTCTGTCCACCCAAAAGCTTTAATTGGACGCGTTGGTCGAACTTCATGCATGCACTGATCCCGCGGATTACATCGGTTGAAGCATCGTTGTCCAAGGTTTCTCCATTCCAAGGAGGAAGAAAGCAGTCAGATGAAGAGCAGGGAGTACTTGCACTGCGAGCAATCGTGTTATAAGGTGGCATGTGAGTGAAACGGTGGTTTTCCGTGGCGCTAGTTTGAGGTTACTAATGTGATTTTTCCAGGCGATCATCATTGCCACATTCATAGAGAAACAGTACTACCTTTTTCCAGAGGTGGATGGGTGGGAAAAGCTTATCCATTTTGCGATCATCCAACAATTTGTCGTCGCCCCTGGTGAGTTCTTCAATATGGTCAAAACATATTTCCAGGAGCCCGATACAGCTTCAAATGTAACTGCAGGGTCCGGTGGTATGAGTCAAATATCCAGGCCCTATTTTCTGAGGCATGATATACGCAACTCCGTCATAACTTAGTGGGTCAGACTTTTTAGGCCTTTGAGAAAACCAAATATCAGTGGCGTTGCACGTCAGACCTGGTTACGATAACAAAGCACTCGTCTATGGAACAACCGTCCCTCCTCATAACGGACTCGAAAAGATTTGAAAGCGGAGTTCACTGCCTTGTTTTGAGAAGAAAAGCTTAAACGTCTTATCGATCAGCTGGATAAGAAAAATGTCTACACACCGAATGCAGTCACACGAACCAAAGAACTCCATGTGACCCATTCTCACACCATTTAGATTGGGCGAAAACTCCCCCACCATCCCCGATTCCATGACATTCGAGATAGAGTCTGATGTAAGCGATCTGCGGTTACTGCCTGTTCTGGGCAACAGCAGTCACGTAGTCATAACATCTGATCCTGTGCTACCCGGTACGAAAGGCCAAAATGATATATGACCTTTGAGAAACCAAATATCAGTGGCGTTGCACGTCAGACCTGGTTACGATAACAAAGCACTCGTCTATGGAACAACTGTCCCTCCTCATAACGGACTCGAAAAGATTTGAAAGCGGAGTTCACTGCCTTGTTTTGAGAAGAAAAGCTTAAACGTCTTATCGATCAGCTGGATAAGAAAAATGTCTACACACCGAATGCAGTCACACGAACCAAAGAACTCCACGTGACCCATTCTCACATCATTTAGATTGGGCGAAAACTCCCCCACCATCCCCGATTCCATGACATTCGAGATAGAGTCTGATGTAAGCGATCTGCGGTTACTGCCTGTTCTGGGCAACAGCAGTCACGTAGTCATAACATCTGATCCTGTGCTACCCGGTACGAAAGGCCAAAATGATATATGATAATCGCTACCTGTGACACCCTCCCGGTGCCTGGCTTCCATGCCACACGAAGGAAGCACAAGGTCTGGGATACTGCCAGGTTGTCCAAGCCTAGACATAAGTCGAGATGCAGAGGTAGGATTCGAACCACGGACCTTGTGGTCAGTAGATTCGCACTGTAACCACTGAGCCATTTCGCCATCTCGCTACCACAGCGCTCGGGATCGTGATCTACAAAAGATTGTCAAATCGCCGGGGAAACTGGCGAGCGAATCTGAATCCTGTTCCAGACGCCTGTTCATTTATTTGCATCGTCTTATATGTCAATCCGTTAACAGAAAGGCGAGACCGAAGTTAACGACGATAAGGCCACAATATTAACGAACTAATACGGCTCAGACTACCAGGACCTGCCAATCCTTCCAGATGTTGTACCATACTTTGCGATCAAGACAGCGACAACTGCGATCCGGCCCTTTACTCAGACCAGTGCCTTTAACGCGAACTCGCACCATTACTCGACCCCTAACGAGACCGTACACAATCTCACTGAAGAACTGCAAACTCTCACGAGAATGGAACAGCGCAGTTGCCGATCCAGCATTCAAGTCTGGTCGGAATGTACCGGTGAACTATCGACCAGCTATCCTCATGTGTGCACCAAGGATAAGATTATGATTCAGGAGATACAACATCATCTGGAGAGGAAAAACGTGCGGTACTCCAGTCATCATGGATCAACCTACTTTAAAGTCGGGTTCGAACCACGGCAGTAAATTCCGCTCCAACCACTTGGTCCATCTCCCCCCCCCCCGTAGACCCCAGACAGTCACATTTGCTACGATCAAGCTCCCTGAATAGTAACGGCGACGACCTGCACTATCCGTGGTTGCTTTCATGTCCTGTCTGATCAGCATGCAGACCGAATCGGCCATCAACAACGAGCTTTCTTCCATCGCTTCACTAAGGCCACTCTTCAAGTGAGATAAGCTGAGGGCCAAAAGACGAGACGTTCAAACGACCACGAGGGCTTCATTGAGGCCTTTCGAAAATGCACGAACATGAGAACTTTGACGCGGAGCGGAAGAGGAGCCAAAATCCCTACGGAGGGGGGCTCATGAAAATATACCATAAAAGGGGAAGAAGGTGTACACGAGTTGAGCGAACAAAAGTCAAACTATCCCACTGTCTGCAACCATCAAGAGCCAAACTTGAGGGTCGATGACCAGAATGAAACAAAACTGACTGGACCCCTGATAGGAAGTCCAACTGTTTTGAGGTCACCCGCTTTGCGAAAGGGGTCTGCATGACTGAGTATTTGTACAACAAAGTGTGCGAGATGGCCCAAGTGGTCAGAGCGTGAATTTACTGACCGGAAGGTCCGTGGTTCGAACCCGACGTCTGCC